GAGTCCAGGAAACATGAAAGGCTAAAAGGAGCCCAAGAGGCTGGTATGGCAGAAACAGGGCAGGAGGGATATGAGGAAGAGGATGGAGCAGCCATGGAAGGGCTTCGCCTCTGTGGCAACATGGTCAAGTGCATTCTGAGGAGATCCAAGTGTGGAAACAGACTGGAGGGTCTGAGTGCAGCATGAGAGGGAAAAGAGGCAGGAATGGCTGAAGATTTAGGTGTAAAAGTCAGCTGACCCCAGAGATGGTCTGGATTGGGTCGGGGGTGGAAGGACGTGGGATGATGAGGTGTCAAGGACGCATGCAGATTCATATCCTTTCAAAGTTCAGCTGCACTCAAGCCCTGGGGTTCTGTACGGCCTGTCATGGACAAGAGCGAACAGAGCAGAAACCAGTGTCAGACCCATGGGGACTTTGGTCCTGTCAGCCCTAGGCTAAGCACCATTTTCGTGAATCATTTCATTAACAGTTAGGTGAATCCCTGGAGAAATAACAGGAAGAACACTAGATTTGGACGGTGGTGATATGGGTGCAGGCCAAGTGCAGGAACCTGGGTGCCAGGTTTAATGACCCTTGCCCCAAGTTCCGATATCCATTGGTGACTCAGAGATCAATAACAACTTCTAATCCACCTGTGGGGGACCTAGTTGCAGGGGTGCGTGTGTGTGTCTACGCAAGTGCTCTGGAAGTCCTAAGTCATCACTTGCCGGGAGCACTCAGCCATTACCTGCTCTCACCTGACTCAGCTACCTTTTCAAGAATAGGAAAAGACCATTGGCAGTCAGCATGAAGGGCTCAGAGACAATGGTGTCCTGCTTTGCACAGCCCTGCTCTCTCTTCTCAGTGACAAAGGCAGGACTCACACTGGGATCCTGCACCTCTAATGTAGCTACATTGATTCCAGCTAGAAAAGCCAGTAGAAGGTCAGGACCTGCTGTGTGAACAGGGAATCAGTCTTCTTTCCTTTCAGGGTGCAGCCCCATTGTTTTAGGGTACATCTGTGCTAGTGCAGGTGGCAGTGGAGTTTTAGTACACCCCACTAAAATGTTAGCTAGCACCTGGTGACAGAGTCCGTTTACTGTCAGAAGCAGCAGCTCAAGGTCATGGTTAAGAAGATAGGAACTGAGGTCTTCACCAGGGTTCAAACATCTTAACATCTGTAATATGGCACCAATGCCTCAGAGGGCTGGTGGATTCAATATGATAATTGGGAGAAGGAATTGTCACCTGCTGTGTATGTGCACGTAAGCCTGTGCATACAGGTGACAAGAAGAGGCTCGTTGGCTGCTTCATTCAACTGACACCTGTGTGCCAGGTGCCACGCTCTGCACTGGAAATGAACAGATGAATGAAAGCTTTGTCCTCGGGTCTATGCAGAGAGACAGCCAGACCGCCATGGTAATGCAGTCACAGGGGCTCTGTGGGGCTGAGGGGGTAACAGAGCAACACGGCTAATTTTGCACAGGGCCATAGACAAACAGAGGCCAGTGAAGGGCTTTCTGGAGAGGCAGCCTAGCCTGGAAATGGAACAAGGGAAGAAGGTCATTCCAGGCAGGCAGAAGCAAAGAAGAGCATTCCTGATGCATTTCAGAACCACAGAGAATGTGACGGCAGAGGTGGGTGGATATTTGGCTATACAGGGGACACAGGTCCTGTCTATCAAGGCTTCCCTGGGCATGTGAAATCAGAGATGACTTATAGTGACATGAAAAACTGTGGATGTGATTCCTCAATGCACTCACTGATAACACTATCCACGTCTGTTGCAAAATCACCGGTGTGAGACTTTACACACTAACTGATGACAGTACTGGACGTTTGTCCATTAGAGTCCCTTGGAGTCCTTCCTTTAGGTATAGCCTTTCACAAACCATTACACAAATGCTGAGTGTATACTGGATTCAGGAAGACATACCAGGTGCAGGCTGGCCAACATACAATGAATACACAGGAAAGAACCGTGGTGGACACAGAGGACAAAGGTGAGTGGCTGAGGTGTACACGAGAGTGGGGTCAACCAAAGACCAAGACAAGGGAGGAGGGGCCCCAGTCCAGGACTAAAAGGAAAAGTTACATGGTGGCACAGCTGAGATGCAAAACTGTGCCTTGGATTGGCAAGCTCCCACCTGGGGGACATACTGCAGCTTAATCAACCCAAGCATTTGGTCGTCTGCTGCCTGCTTTGTAAAAATGGGAACATGACAGTCGCTACAAGCTGGGGACTTCCTGGACTGTTCTGAAATAAGATTCTGTGCTTTCCATCTCTCTCCTTCTGGAAAGGGTTGCAAACCTAACCAGTCGCTGGCTTCGTTGGAAAAAGCCTAGCTTTTTTTGGGGGGCGGAGACAGGTTCCTTAAAAGTGAAGGACAGACCCAAATTCCCATATCAGCACAGCTCAGTTTCCTCTATAAATGGAGTAAGTAGTGACAGCAACCTAATTCTGTCCATGTTAAAGCAGACTCTACATGTTAAAGACAAGAGGAGTTAAATGGCATGGTCATGGTCAAGGTTGCACAATGGGGAAGTAAGTAGCCATGGTGGATTTGAACCTGGGTGTGTCTGTCTCAGACAGGCTGCCCTACAGTTCTCCCAGCAGCCTGGGAAGACAGTGTAGGGGACACAGACTGATGAAAGAAGAAGAAACCCTTTTGTAAACTCAAACAAGATGTGCGAGAAACTGCAACATGTAGATTTTGAAAGGGACTTTCATCCCTCTGATATGTGACCCAGCTCAGCTTATTTGTACTGTAAAGGTGTGGCACTGCCTGGAGACCACCGAGGCCTCTGAGGTCTAGTGAGTTCCAGATCACTGGGGAGAGCTCGCCCAATTTGTACCTTGTCTTTCGTGTGACCTCATCCATCTCATGCCTCCCCTACTGAGACACAAGCTCCAGGATAGAAGTCACTTAGTCACAGCCATCCTTTCCTGGGGGAGGTGGCTCTTCCTGCCTGTCCACTGCATCTCTGTAATGCCCTGCACTGATTGCTTACGGCTGTTCCCACTACACTGCTGTCTTTGCTGACTTACTGATCTGCTCCTAGGCTGGATGGTGTTCTTTGATGGCCCCAAAGTATCTTTTTCATCTTTGCACAGCCAGAGATGAAAGACGAGAGAATTATTGGTGCAGCTCTTTGAAGACAGGGATGTTACCTGGGATGAGAGCGATCTGGAAAGGTTGCTACTATCCATGGACTTGGGGCATTCTACCAGGCCAACTCTCAGACCAGCTGATAGATTCTCGCGTGTTCGGTTACTGAAACAGTCTCTAGCCAGCTGTGCTCACAGGAGAGCAGCAGGGATCACCCTCCAGCCAGCTGGGGGCTCCCAGAAGTGACCCATTTGTGTGTGGGGGGTCCTCTTTTATTAAGCACATACATATCCAGGGCGCGGTCCCAGCCAAGGCAACTGACAAGAAACAAACCAGGTAGCTTTCTTGCCTACCAGCACATTCTGGAACACAGAGAAATTCTGAGATCATCTAAGGAAAATTCCAGCTCACAGCATTGGCAGAAGCTGACATGGGACATGAAGTCAGACATGAAATCAGGTTATTAAATTAGTGTCTTTCCAGGAATAGCACAAGTTCATTCAATTCCTTCTGGACTCACGGGTATGATTAACTAAGTCTTCTCAGACAAGCCTCTCGTGGAGGAATTGTGTGACAATTTTATGCTGTCCAAATGCAGTGGGGAGAAGCGAACAGAGCCAGTGAGGAGGAAGATAGTGATCTGAGCACAAGGCCATCCAAAGCGCTGCCCGTGATTCTCCAACACCTGTGTCATGTGCGTCCATCACACAGAACTCAGCAAAGAGACTCAGTGATGTGAGATGCTGAACAGAGCCCTGGCAGGTGCACCTGTGGCTGTCAAAGGCTGGTTCAGTCAAGCACTGCTGGTACCTATAAAGAGGTGACCGGCGTGTGCCTAATTTACTTATCCCAGCTTCCCAGGAAAGTGGTGCCCCAGCCTGGCTCCTGCTTGCCCACAACCACCTGGTCACCTCTCAAATCTAGCAGGCACTCCAGTGAACCCAGCAAGGACTTCTGGGAACTAAGGACCACGACATACACATAGCTCCTGGAGGATGGGGGAGGGGGAGCTGTGACACTGAGCACAGCTCATTTCCCTTGTCTTTAAGGGACTGTGTGGAACACCAAAACACCCCTAGGGGATATCTCCTTCTCCTTTTGCATCATTGTTTGTGCCTCATCATTTAGCCAGCAAAGCTGCATTGTCTGCCTGCCTGCCTGTCTGTCTGTCTATCTATCTGTCTATCTATTTGCAGTACTGGGGCTTGAACTCAGGGCCTACACCTTGAGCCACTCCACCAGCTCTTTTTTTGTGATGGTTATTTTTGAGATAGGGTCTTGCAAACTATTTTCCCTGGGCTGGCTTTGAACCGAGATCCTCCTGATCTCTGCCTCCTGAGTAGCTAGGATTACAGGTATGAGCCATCGGCACCCAGCTTTTGTCTTTTCTTTTATAAACAACAGTGAGAGCTCCACTGCATCCTGACGTGTGACTGTTGTTAAGAGGGCATTCATATTGCTTTCTGGAGGACCACATCTCTCATGGTTAGCGGAGGAAGGACAGAGTGAATCTAAGGAAATGCACACTGGAGGTGGCTTTTCAGGAATGGTTGTGCCAGGCAAAGGGAGCCAACTTTAAAAGTCCTTGAGTGACTCAAGGTACTCCTAAGTGGCCCAAAAGAGCTCCGAAGAGTTCTGCAGAAGGTTGAGCATTCTTCCTCTCCTTTTTCTGCTTCTCTATCATAACTGCTGAGAGCCCGTCAATGAAGAGTGGGCACCTTCTTTTTGTTTTCTGCAAGTACGTCTAGTCATAAGTTAAGGACAGGGCTGGCTGGAGTCAATCTTGCAAAAGAAGTATCATTCTGCTTCACCTCGAGTCCCCCAGCACCCAGCCTGGGTGCCACCCATTCCTGCATCCCCTACCATCACAGTGCCCCCATTAGTCTGACCACCAGCGAAGTGGCCTTTACCTCTCAGCTGCTGGAAGCAGGAGGCACTGCTGTCTGGCTCCAGGGGGTGCCTCAGGACCCCGTTGCTGGGCTTGGGCCTCTCGTATTCTCTTTCAGGAAGCATGGCCTGCTCGCTCTCCATGGCAGGGTCTGAGTGTGGGGTGAGGGACTGTGGGAACCCGAACATCAAGAGAGATGAGAAGAAGAGCAAGGCACCACAGAGCAGGAAGCCACCCCACCAGGCTCCAATCCAGCGGGGGTCATCGGGGGTGATGTCCAGGTTACCTGCCAACAGAAAGAGCGCAGCTTAGCGGGAGGGTACACGTGGGCTGTAGGGACTTTACTGAGTCCATTGCACAGAGAGTTCAAGGGCGCTTGATACGGACCAGGGTGGGAGGACTGGCTGTCAGGCTGGGGAACCTATCTGTTCCACGTCAGCGCTTCTGTTTTTCTCAAAGCTGGAGACGGATCACGTTCTCTCCTTAATTTCCTTGTCTTTCCTACGCTGCTATCAGTCTAATCAAAAACAGTGAGAAGCCAGACAGCCTCTGAATCTCAGCTGAAATTGACTAATTTAGCAGTGCTGTGAGGTGTGCTAACGAAAACACAAGGAAACATTTATTGTTCGAAGGTAGTTTTTCACCAGGTATACTCACTCTTACCTCCCCCAAAATAGCTCATCTGAAATCCCATTTAATTCCCCACTTCCTGTCTTAAATCAGGTTCCCAGCTCAAAGGGCAGGTATAGAACAGATGTACAGAACACACACTGTACCTTGAAACACACTCAGCCTGCCTGGGTTGAAATTCTGCTCCCTTCCCTCTGTAGGACTTTGGGTCAGTGATTTGAAGTGTATGCCTCAGTCTACTGGTCTGACAACACTGATGATGATGGTGACAGTACTTACCTTATAGAGTCCTTGGAAGAGCAAACAAACCATACCCAGACCCCAGGTGCTCAGAGTAGAGTCTGCCACAAGCCTGAGCACTTCATGGATCTTAGCGTGTCGTTTATAGCTAGGGCCCCCTGTTTCCAAGCTGCCAGCAGGCAGGTTAATTCAAATCTTAGGGGGTGGCCTGGGCTTGGCACCAGCACTCTGTTAGAAAGCTCTGTAGCCAACTTGTATGCTTTAAGCTATGCGTGTGGTTTGGCTGTGCGCTGCCCTGCTGCCTTATACTGTCACTTCTTTGATTTGCCAGCCCAAGTCATGGGAACACACACTACGGCTCCCTCCCTGGTATTTTTTCTTCTCTCTTTACAGCTGTCCTGCACAGCAGCTTTCACAGAGAAGCTGCCTAGCAATGTCTCTCCGATGATAAACCATGCTCAGTCGTGTAGACTTGGTAATAGTGTATGAGTCAAGACCAGCAGGGCTGTGGTCTGGACCAGGTGGATGGACAGCTCTGAAGACAGTAGTGACTGCAGGCACTGGCTGAACACTTTACCATTTAAAAAACGCTCTCCCTGAAGACTCCTCAGCCAAATTCACAATGCCAGTCATCACTCATGGAGGCACCAGGTATTATGCAGGGCACACTCCTACTGCTCCAGTCAATTGTCCTGCAAGCCTACACAGTAGGGACTTTTATTATCACTATTTTATATAGACATGGAAACAGTGGCTCAGAAAGAGCAGGTTCTTTTCCCAAGCTCACAGAGCTGAAGATCAGATCACAGGAAGTCCTATGTCAATGCCCACACACACCATTCTTCTTCACTATTGCCTACGATCTCCTGAACTTTGTGCGCCTGTAGAGCCGTGGGTGGATAATGAATTCTTAGGTGTTGTGCAATTACCAGCTCTTCTGGTAGGGGGCAAGGTGGCTTTGGAACACTGGTGATCTCTTCCTGGAGACCTTGACATAAATCCAGCGATGCTAACCACAGTACTACAATGGAGAGGAGGGTGCATAGGCTTAAGAGACTTGTGGTTGAATCTTGGCTCCAGCACTTACTAGTTCTAGCACTCCCTGAGCCTTATCCCATCATTTGTAAAGATGACAGCAACCTACAGTAGTTGTAAGGATGAGAGATAATGAGCAGAATCCTAACACGCAATAGGTCCTTCCAATATGGCGGCCCTTGTTCTTTCTACTTTTGAGTTTCTATGGCTATGAATTGGAATTTCAAGGTTATGGATGTTACTAACAGTCTATGGTATGGGAAAACTCAAGGTGATCTGGAAATGCAAATAAGGGAAAAGAAAAGAAGTAAAATTGCCTCAGGAGGCTGAACAGAAATGTTTTCACTCATCACTTACTGTGTTTCCTCACCTGCTGCCAAGCAATGAATGAAAACAAGACAGCAGTGGTGTTTTCCTCCATTGTCTATGGGCTCCATAAAAGAGGAATTGAAAAGCTGGTTAATGTGAGTGAGAAAAGACAGAGAAATCCTAGCAGTTGTTGAGAGGAACAAAATTAGTACAGTACAGAAAGTCAGAGGAAGTCAGTGACTCCATTCTATGTGTGAGAAAACATCCCAGAGAGAGGGATGGTTGTAGGGGAAGCAGGCTGCAGTTGGTATAAATGTGTCACCTCACCCCTTGTAAGTATGGAAAGCTGACTTTTGCTCAAAGATTGAAAGATAGAAAAGAGCATGTCTTCTGTGTCAGAATCAAGGTACACCTGCCATTTGGGCCAGGCCAGGAGAAGGGATCTTTCTTTAGGAAAGTATGTGGGGTTTACCTGCAGATTCTGGTAAATGGTTGCTGGCTAGTTGGGGAGGTATTGATTTTTTTTCTCCCTCCATCTCAATTATCCAGAGCATTGTGGCAGACAAAGAAACACAGTGAAGGAAACCACTTATCTCTGGAGTGTAGGGCTCTCAGGACAGAGGAGACTTTGAGAGTGAGTTCCAATCTGATTTTGAGAAGATGACTTATGTTTGAACCTAGTCTGAAGACTTCTTTTCTCTATCCCTACCCACACCAAACAATATTTTTATGAGGCCATTTTGGCTAGTCATAGTGAAAAATCTCCCTCGAGTTGCCTGGCAATGGTCAATGCTCAGAAGAGAACATTCCTGATCTACTGACATTGAAGGAGACTTCTCCATGTCAGCTGGCAGAGAATGGTGTGGTAGATACCTCTTATGTCTACTCAGATCACCTCTTCTTCTGGGGCAAGGAGGATTAGGACCTCTTTTACTTTGTGAAATTAAGTGTGACTATGCCACAGAGTTTTGCCCATGAAATATGAGCAGAGAGAACGTGCATCCTTTCTGTGTGGAAGTCTATATGAGCTGGAGTATGACTTCCATGTTTCTTCCTCCTATCATGGTATCTGATGGGCTACAGTGAATATAATATCCCCATTGACCTGCTTTGAATATACAGTAAGAGCAAGAAATAAACTTTTAGTGTTCTAAACCATTGAGAGTTGGGGGGGTGTTTGTTACTGCAGTTTAACCTAGCCTACTCTAACACAGATAGCTTAGGAAACAGACATTTCTGCTCTGTAGAACAGAAGTCCCACAAAGGTTTGAGATAGCAAAAGTGGTGTCTTAGGCACAGGTAAAGAGGTAAAAGGCAAGGCTTGAAAAGTCTCTTCTTTATCTATCTGATTCTGGTTCATGTCTTAACTTTTGAAAATTACTGTAGTTTCAGACTTTTGGTAAAGGCTACTGTCGGTAAGATGGTTAGAACAAAACTAAAAAGCACCATTCTGTCTCATCACTGAGATGCATTGAACTGTCAAAGAAATCAGACACACCATGAAGGGCACTGGATAGAATAGGGGTAGGGACAGTGTCCCAGGCTGAGGGGACAGCCTGAGCAAGGGTGTGTCATCCTCAGTGGACTCTGATTGGACAGACTAAACTCCCTCCTGCCATTGTCTACTCTGTGATCATTCCACAAGTCTGATTTTTAAGGGAGTTTAGTGAGGGAGAGGAAGTGGATGAGAACAGAGTGGAGTAGTAGAAGCATCCATTGTATGTGCTCTACATCATCCATTCCATGATGGAATGCTTGTCTGCCCCGAGACCAGACACACTGGGTCTGTCTTGCAGTAGTATCACAGGCATAAAAGACTTCCTCTTAAGGTCTACTTTCTAACCCTGACATTTTGGTGCCTGACTTTTGCTTTGTTTCTGTTGTTTGCTGGGTAAGTTGAACAAGTTGTTACCAGTTTGTTCTGCCTCCTTTGCAGAAGGGCAGGAAAACACTTGGGGCCCATTGAGATTTTCACTCATTTTCAAGATCAAAAGAAAAAAAGTCACAGAGAACAGAATTAAACCATTTAAAACTCATCAACCAACTCACCCATGGGATCACCTGAGACTGTGAGGAGATTAGGCCAGAGCAAATTGGGGACATTCACTTATTTGTCCTGGCCCACGCTATGTGTAACCACGCTATGGTTCTCTAGGCATTACTTATTTATTTTTTAGTTCATTTAACTATTTGTTAAACCTATTTTGTCAAACTTTTGCTGCAAGGGCTCAAGAATTCCAAGAGTATCATAAAGTTACACGTCTAATTAGAAACTAAAGAAAGGTGGGGCTGAGTGTGGAGGGTAGTGTAGAACATTCAGGATCTCAGCCATAGGGTTAATTAGTCCAAACTGAAGGAACCCAGCAGTGACACCAGCACGGGGGATGGCAGAACAGAAGGCTCTCAGCTGGTTGACCTTTCCCATGAAGCACACAGACAGCCTATCTCACCCCAGCTGCAAACCACAGGCAGTTGTCTGCAGGGCCAGCTGGTGTGTCCCTTAGAACAAGTGTGACTGGATGTGCTGATGGGGCCAGGTCCTCAAAGCAAGGCCTCTGACCATGGAAGGGCGCCACCTGCTGGTGAAATTCAGGTTTCAGGGAAGCAAGCTATTCAGCTGAGAGAGGGGCTTTGGGGGCAGATGGACCTGGGGCTGAATCTTTGCTCTGTCCCCTTACTAGCTGTGGAAATTAGTGAATCTCTAAGACGCTCCTTCCACTGGACATGTACTGTGTGCTTACTGTATGCCGGGCACCGTTTTACTGCTTTGTGTGGCTACATGGTGTCATCTACACATAGATGCTCAGACACACGAGGAGGAATGTCCCTAGGATCACAAAGCTCATCGAAGCTGTACCTGGATTCATGGGGGTCAGAGTCTAGAGTCTGAATTCTTAAGCACGGCACAATAACGCCTCACTGAATGGAACCTACACTTCCACCTCAAGGGCCAAAGCTCCAGTGAGACAATCTATACGTGCCTTTACTAAGTGATCAGCTCAAGGCTACGGCTACTCCTAAGGCCCTTTCTAAGAAACCCACACAGGGGACAGCCTGCCGCCAGCTCCTTTCTTCAAGGTCTTGTTCTTGTATGCGTTTCAGTTTTACAAAGATATTCTAAAAAAGAAATCCTGGAGGTGCCACCATTTCCTTCTCCACCCACCCTACAGAGGTATCTATTCCCTTAAGAAGAGGGGCAGAGGGAGCCACCAGGGGATGGAACAAAGATGAAAGTCAGTGGCTAGTGAATCTCTATGTGTAAGAGCAGCTCACTCAGCCTCCTGACAGCCGCCCCTTGGGGTCTCTGCTTTCCAGATGCCCCATTCCCACGAATAACTGTTCTTCTGCAGCCCCAGTTGCGCTGTCCCTCAAGTTCAATGAGGCTCCCTTCCTCCCTGGCCCCTCCATTCAATGATGCATCCTTGCTGTTGCCAGTGGGAGAAAGTGCATGCCTTCATTCATCTGTCCTCCAGCCAAGGCCTTCCACAGACCTGCCCTGTTGTCTCTCTGCAAATTCCAGCCAATCTTCTCAGCTGAGATTATTTTGTGTGTGTGTTACCATGGGGATTTACGTCCTAGCAATTGAACCAGAACCCCTGGCCCTTTTTGCTTTAGTTTGTTTTTCAGATAGGATCTTGGGCTTTTATTTGTGGCTTGGCCTCAGACTGGAATCCTCCTACCTCTGCCTCCCATGTAGCTGGGATATGCACCACCACACTGGGCTTGTTTTTTTTGAGATAGGGTCTACTAACTTTTGCCTGGGTTGGCCTCAAACTTCAGTCTTCCTCCTATCTCTGCCTTCCTAGTGGCTGGGATTTCAGAACATGTGGGTAGGTGTGTGGCCTTGGACACTTCTGCTTGAGGTAATGTTCCCATATGGTGGACAGCCATAAAGAGGGGTTCCGTTGTAGGGTGATGAGGAAAAGATAGGGCAGGCCCTAAAAACTGAGAATACTCTCTCAAAATACAGCCCAATCCATGGACAGGTGACAAGTTACAAGATAAGAAAGAAAACTCACTGGTTACTAGAGCTCTCTGTGGCTGACTCCCTAAGAGAATAAACGCTGCTCTTCTGCCCTCTACTGGTGAGCCGCAGTACATGCCCTCACACCCCTCCAGGAAGGAAGCAAACAGACCTGCCTGACTCACAAGCATCCTCCCTCCTTAGGGACACATCAGGAGTCTGCTATCACCTTGTGAGTGGGGCAGGCTGTCACCAGCATTGGCCCAGATATAAAGGAGAGCTGTCATCTGTCCTTCATCTGGTTAGCACCCCACTGCTATGGATAGTGCTGCTTCACCGTGGGCCTACAAGGGCTAGCAAAGGTGTGAACAGAATGGGATGAGACAAGCATTCTTTGCTGAACAAACAGCCTCAAAAGGCTGAGGGGGACTGTGAGTGGACAGGCCAACCCCCCTGGCTACCAGTATACCCCTTGCTCACTCTAGACAGTGAGAAAAAAACCCTCTCTCATTCTCAAGATGGGAGTTTGGTGAGGGAGCGCTTGAAGGGGGATAGCTGTGCCCTGGCTCAGGAGACTGGGGGTTTAAACTGACATGCTCCTTGGATTTAGTTCCCACCCTTTCCATCCCTGGGACTCAGTTTCCTCACTGGTAAAATGAAAGATTTGGAAAAGAACGGTGCCCATGTTCCTTTCCTGCCCAAGGAGTCTGGTCATTCATAGGCCAACAGGCTACTGGCCATGATGGATGTGCCAAGGGCAAAATAAACCACCTGGCCATTTGCTTCTCCTTCAAGGTAGCTTCTCCACTACCCAGGGAGCCTTCCCCTTCCCTGGCTCCCTTGCTGTTGCTCCAGAACGTTGGCTCTTCTGTCCCTATAAACAAAATGGCAGCTTCATGGTGTTTCTCTTCCAGCCCATCCTTTGTGCTATTCTCTAGGAGAGGGGTTCAAACAACTGGAAAACAGCAGCATCCACTCATCTCCTGACTAGACCCAGCACTTGCTGAGAATAAGTTGCTCTGATTTCATTTTCCACTTGGAAATTTGTAACATCATTAGCTCCGAGTAAATATATCCGGGAGATTAATGGAGTGATCACAAAGCAACTTGATTGGGTTTAGGAGCATATTCTTTCTTTGGGGTGAATTAGTAAATTTAGCACTGTCAAGGGATGATGAATTGGGAACCCGGGGACTGGGAACTTCTTATTGATCCCGAGAATAGATTGGGATCAGAAGAAGCTAGGATGGTGTCCCACCTTCTGTTTTCAGTCAGCAATGAAATGGGGCTTCATTGCTCACTGAGCTATGCAGAGATATGGTGTTCTCTTTCAGGTACACAATACAGTTGTGACTGCATAGGGTAGGTGGTGTCTCAGATGGTCCCCAAAGACTCCTGACTGCTGGCATTCATGCCCTTGTATAATAATTCTCCTTAGCAATGGACCTGAATGAGTGACTGACTTGTTCCTAGCAAACAAGTCACTCTGAGAAGACTGGTTTCTTGTCACTGTCTCTCCCCTCTCTCCCTCTCCCTTTCTCTCTCTCCCCTTCTCCCCCTTTCTCCTCTCCCTCTGGTGTCCCTTCCTCTCTCCCCCTCTCCCTCCCTGTCTCTCTATCCCTCCCTTCCTTTCCCTCCCTCTATCTTCTTCTCCCTTCCCATCTCTCCCTTTCTCTCTTGGGCCATTTGCTCCAGGGGAGCCCTGGTGAAGTAATCCTGTACAGAGGCCCAGGACATGGGCCTTCTAAGGCCAGTCAACATCACAGATTTGAGCCTAGAAGTGGATCCTCCCCACACTGGGCCTTGAGATGATCACAGACAACACTGTTAGCTTAATTGAAGCCTCCTAAGAATCTGGAGCCAGAAGCACCCAGCTAAGCATCTCTTGTATTCCCCATCCACCAGAAAACAACTGTGAAATAAACATCTGGTGTCGCAAGTCACGACATTTGGAGTCATTTGTTACACACAAAAGAAAGCTGATTTGCCAAGTCTCTTGCTTTGGCAGTGACACATGAATAGAAATTGTTTGTGTCATTTCTGAGCTCAAGGTTCAAGGGCCAGAGTGCAACTTGTTCACTGGCTTCCTACTGTGGTAACTCTACCACAGCAAGGGTCAGGATGAAACTTCTGTGAGCCTGGGTTCTAGAGTGGCCAAGGTGAGCCAAGTCCCATCCTCCCCAAGCTACCCTTTGTTGGACAGGTAGTACAGAGGAGAATTAAACTTTGGATGTGTAAAATCATTAGTTTTGGGAACTGTTTGTTAGCACCGCATAACTTAGCCCATTCTGACTAGCGTACTGCAATCACTGAATCACAGACTTGTTTTTTTTTTGTTAGGAATACAACAGGTTTTGCTTAAGATGGCTTGAAATGCCACATTCCCCATAAAGTCCATCAAGACAGTGAGTTATAGAAAGGATTTTCCAATTGATCCATCTTGCCAATGGCTATGGCACACCCGTAGGAAGGTTTAGAACCCAATAGGCTAAAGACGAAAAGGGTTATGGGGTGGTTAGAAGTTGAGATCCAGCTCTTACTTGTGTCAATGAAGACAGCATCCACGTAGATTTTGGTACAGAAGGAGCCCAGAATAAATCCACAGGCTGGTCCAAATACCAACATCGTGAACAGGATTCCTGAAAGAAGAATATGAAAGGTTAGATTAAAACACAGAAGCCTTTCAAGAAGCAAGATCATCAAAGGTCAAGATTATTTTACATTGATCAGTTAAGATACTGGGTTCTATAAAATGGTAGTAAAGGAATTAGTCTATAAATACCTTAGAAAGGAAAGCTAGTATTTTGGAAACTCCATAAAAGTATTGCATATTATGCCAGAATTCTATAGGATTCTGATAAATTGCTCTGAACTAGATACTTGTAGACCCTCTTACAAATATCTGAGAAGACGTCACACATCAAACATATTATACAGTTTTTTTTTTGCCATCAAGAATTTGAAAGGACTTTTACAAGTTTGTTTTTATATTTATTTGGTCTTATATAATTCATTCAATTATGGTTAGCTGAGATTGCTCTGAACTCATTGTGCAAACTCAAGAATTCTTGCAAAGTGAGAAAAATCTAAGCCACAAATTATTTTCAAATATAATGAAATGTTTATAAGCACTAAACTCAGCAAATAGCACAATTCACACAGTGGTATGCTTTGAGAACAGCTCATGAGAAATTTTATTAATTTTGACTTTGCAATCCCCCCTCCTGCATTCTAGCATCACTCTCTGTACCGTCATTGTGGTTGCAATGGCTCCGGATTTGACTTGTTCATGGCACTTGAAAAGATGGCTGCTGAGTTTAATTATTTGGTGGTTATACTACCTGGAATTCGGGACAAAACTTTTGGATCATTCTGGAAAAAAGTGCAGAGTTCAAACTAAAACCTTCAAGCTGTATCTACTCAACTAAATTTCAGTCCAGACAGACCTTTTTTTTTCTGAGCATTGAGAATTCCCTGGCCCTAGGGATTAAAGTATAAAGAAGTGGTCCCTCCCTTAGACAGCTGGCCACCTGATGGGGACAATCAGTGCATTGGTAATTCCAACCCAAACAGGCACTCTGAAGGGTGGGTGCTGACAGGTCCCTGTGGACATTGGAAGCAGGAGGCAGGAGAGCAACATCACCACAGGGAACCTAAGTTCATTGGGGGCTCCTCTCCCACCTGGCTCTTTCAAAGGGCAGACCCACTGAGCCTGAATTCTCTTAGCGATGCTATGCTGGGACCAATCAAATATTCATTCATTCAATCAGTACTTATTGAGCTCCTTCTCCATGCAAAGCATGGATTTAACACTGAGCTAAGCACTCAGAACTGCTGGCCTGCACAGAGCTCAGATTGACTTGGATGGAGAGCAAAAAAACCCCAAAACTTCAGAGACTATAGACAGGAGTCAGAAGAATCTGAACACCTGGCAAAGGAAGTCAGGTCTTCCCACTTTATAGACAGGAGTCTGGAACTGCAAAGCAGTCACTTAAGATGGCTGAAAGGGTGGTAAGGAGTCAGAGGAGAGAGGGTAAATAAGAGGAAGTTGGATTTGATCAGTGCACGCATGCATGGAAATTTCGTGCTGAGTCCCATTAACAGGTACAACTAATGCATGATAATAAAAGTGTATTAAAAGATTAAAAATGTCATTAGACCGGGAATGAACAAAGACTATTTCCTGTCACAAAACCAGGGTTGAATCTACCTTGCGTGAGATCCTACTCTGGTTTTAAGATCCTTAGAGGTTCAAGTGTTTCAGAACTGTCACTCCACAGACAGTGAGAGCCCCTGAATCTCACAATCCTTTCTGTGTCTAGGAGGAAATTTTAAATATGAAAAATGTGTCCCTTGAGAGAGAAGCAGCACATTAGCCTAGCTTGTCACAACCTAGGTCAAGACAGCCAAAGAGGGATGTGTGTGTGGAGTGAAAGTTGAAAATACTGTACATGGAATCTTTTGGTTATGGGCTAGAGTGAGGGGGCTGCCTTAGTGGGATGGTGTTAAGGGACAGAATGAATCTCAGTCCCTTTCCTTGGGTGCAGGGCAGAGAAACAGGAAGAGATTCTGAAATACAGCATGGGGTATGGTCAGTGATTGTCCAAGGTACCCAGGGCAGAGTGAGATTTCTGCATCAAGGCAAAATGGTAAAGCCAGCCATGTCCTTCTGTTCAGTCTGAGGACAGAGGTGAGCCATGGGCCAGAGTCACAGGTACCGTAAAGGACACTCAGAGAACAAACTCACTGCTCAGCTCAGACCTTCCCAGAAGAAAAGAAGAAAGGGTATGGGGCTCACGAACATGTCTCACTCAGGGGGCCATAATTACCTCTCACTCACATCGATACTCCCTGTGTCCCCTCTGATGCCTGGTAGCATCCTCCTCTTCAGAACACATCTCCTTTCATGTGAATTAAGTAAGTCCCCAAGAAACATACAAGTCACCATCCTACCCCTTATAGGCTGAATAAGGCACATAACCAGGGATACTTAACAGGTCAAAGGACCCAACTCAGAACCCCACCCCTTCCAGCTCCTCTGGCAAGAGGTCAGAGTTCTCCCCAATGCCAGAGAAGCCTCCCAAACCAGTGACAGAGGCAGGCACACGTGCTTTCGTGTGAAGGGCATGTCCTTCCTTTAGGTGAAATCATTTTCTAAGTGGTCCTCCTGAGAGAGAGGTCAAGGTCAACAGAGAGGGTCTTGAAGATTTTCAAAGAATAGTTCAGCAGAGGGGATGTAGAGGGGACCTGAGATATCAGGAGAAACATTTTTTTTTCAAACTTCAGAAGTACAGAAATATCCCAGAATGGCAACAAAGATGAAGCAGCCTCAGAGGGCAGGGCACGAGGGCAAGTGAGGCAGAAATTGACTTTTGAATTTGCTTCCTTGGCTCTGCCTTGAATCCATCCTTCTTACTTGTTTAGCAAGCAGGCTAGACACATTTTCTTCCTTGGCTCAGTGCTGCCCCCTGCTGTCTGCAGAATCCCTGTACACCACTGGGACGGTGGATGAGGAGAGCCTGGAACAGACAGCAGAGAAAGACGAAGCTTCTGTCTTTCTACCATCTTATATAACCAAAAGGTCTTACACACACAATCTGCAGTACGGCAAGTCTGCCTTATTCACGGATTTATTACACACGGTTTTGTCCAAGGGAGGTTAAAAAAATGTAAAAATCAAAAGAAGTTTCAAAACAAAAATTTTAGGATCCTGTGTGCAGGATGCTGGCTACTGGATATGGAGAAGCTCCAGTCAGTCCTGTGTTGACCTCAGTTGCGTTTAAGTCATTGTGTGATCTGTTGAGTGTTTTCCTGCCCTAAATTTTGTGCAAATCTGCCTCTCCCAAAAGCAAATGGTGCCCCGAAAGCAAGGTAAAAGTTATTGTGATCCTCCCAAACCAAGAGGGGCACATGCATGCTTAATTGAAGTGAGGGAATAGCAGTTTGAGGTGTGTTGATGCATGTCTTTCGTGGTGTTGGGCATTATGGGAAAAGTGAACCAAGCATCTGCAGTACAGCACTGAGCTCTGTGTGTCCTGAGCATATGGATTTTCCTCAGTGGCAGTCTCCTTGGAACCATGTACCTGTGGATACCAGGGTCTATGTAATTCTCTGTGACACAAGGGAGAAGTTTACTGTGCCCACTTCACAGGCGAGGAGTCTCAGAAGGCCCATGTCTTGCCTGTAGCCAGCAGCTAAAGGTCAGCAAGGGGAAGGGTGGGGTCTGAAGCCAGGTTTCCAGATCCATTAAGGGAAAACTTCAGGTAAAGGCATGAACAGCTTGTGTTCAAATCCCAGCACCGAGGACCTTAGGCAAGGTGTATTTAATCTGCTCATGCCTCAGTTTCCTCTCATCTGCAAAGCGGGGTGGGCTATTAGATTAGATTCTTGGGGTTGTGGCGAAGGAGCTAACGACCTAGTATTATTTGCAAAGCTCTCAGAAGAACCTCTGGCACACAGAAAGAACTATAGATGCTTTTGCTCGAGAGACAGTACCTGTGTCTCTCCTCTTCCAATGCCCCTCTTCCAGTACCTGACCCTCCTCTTTTCAAACCTCTTTTGGCCCTTCCTCCCTCCCTTCCTGAAGCTATCCTTAGGGACAGGGGCTAGGACTTGGGATCAGGCCAGACAATCCATCAAAGCTTCACCAGGGCACAGACAGACTTGCCAGCCAGAGTTGGCCCCCAGATCTGAAGTCACTTGCCAAGCACAGTGAAATGCTACTCTGGCTTTCTAGGGATAACATGTTTGGACAAAGGGAGTAGTGGCCTAAGGAGGGAAGGAATGATAACCCTTGTGATCTAGCTCCAGTCACAGGCCTTCCTTCTGAAAATTACACCTGCAGTTCCCAAATTGGGTGCTGAGGTACTTTGAGGTACGGCAGTGAACTCATAGGGATACTACAGAATGGCTTCAGTTTTTGAGAGAAACACAGCAGCACTTGACATCTGTTGGGCACTATCCATAGATCCATTACTCCAAGCCAGCCACTGGTTCCAACCTGATGTGTTTGGCCCAGAGCTGCTGCACAGTAGGTTTCTGAGCTGTTAAAAGGATGTGTGAGGGAGGGCACTAATTACAGACCATGTCTGCAGAGGATGGAGGAGGGAGTTTTCTTGGCAAGGAGCTACCAAGTCCACCTAACCAGAGAGGAGCAGAGCTGGAACCCAGACCCTGACCTGTACTTTCCTGTACTTGCTCAATCCCAAGTCCTTCTGCACATGTGTCCCTCAGCACTGGGGACCTCCCTATACAATGTGCCTCCTTCTATATGCAGTGTGGCCACTGAGCCTACACAAAGGGTCAGGCCACATACCATGTAACCCAATGAGGAATTTGGATAATCTAGCTAGAATCTTCTATTTGGAATTTACTGATCCACGAAGAATTATTCAACTTTATCACCAGTACAAGACAGCTAACGAATGAAAATAGCAGGGAACACTTTCTGTTTGTGGAATGTGACAGGCTGATTCTAAATTGTTTATAGAAATGCTGATGGAAGGTCAAGACCAGTCTAGATGCTTTTGAAGAGGAAGAACATTTGTTACAAAAACATCTGTTTTTGTAAAAAAAAAAAGAAAAAGAAAAAAATTTATCCCACTAATCCCAATGATGTCAGGACTTTCTTTAAAGCACC